ATTGAGGTACTGAAATAAATTGGACATGCTCAAAAGCAAAATAATGTTACCCTTTCAACGATAATTGACATACATGACAAAAGTCATACAAATCACAAATGACATTGTTTTGAAACCATGTGAGACTTTCATACCTATAACTGACTAGGAGATATTTTAGGAGGAAAATCTGTCAGTGGGTCAAATAGAAAGTAAAACATCAGTTAATACCATGTTGTGGAAGAGTTAACTGTGCTTAAAAGAGAGAGAAGAAAAAGATAAAATCAGAAGTGACATCATAATTCACTTGATGAATCAGCACCTTTGTGCAGTCCACTGGAGGCTCACAAGTTTTACAATGAAAGTAGGGACCTAGAAAATCTCAGCGATTTTACTGCCAAGTAAAATGCTAAATCAATCACAACGTTGGAGTAAAGGCCAAAGCCGACAAACTAACCTATCAAGGTCAGTCACAAGGAAATATGGCAAGATAAATGTCAATGTGGATTTATAATAAAAACACAGGTAGAAAGACAAATTCAACATTTGGAAGATCTTGAAAATTTCCAGAGTTAGAAAATTGATGCTTTATGATTTTTTCAGTAAAGGCTATTTTAAAATGTTTAAATTGTATTTTCCTTGATTTCAAACAATATATTTAAATCATATTTATTTTATTTCCACATTACTCTAAAGTTCTCTTGCCTATATTATATAAATTTTATGTCTATTGTATCTCAGAGTATACACACAAACATACACAAGTATAAACATACACAAGTTAACATTAGTGTCATTACTCATATGAGTCTTTTGTGCTTTGACATTTGTTTGCTTGTTTTTGTCCTATTTGTATTTACTGTTTTATTTAATAATAGTAATAATTATTATTACTTAATTCAATTTATTCAATTTGTATCCCAGCTCTGGCCTCCTCCGTTATTAAATGTCTTATTTTAATTCATTGAATCATAGAAAATGGGGTGATGATACCCAAAGTAATGATCATAACTCCACAAAAATATAAAATTAAAATTTAGGAAAAAAAGGTTATTTTAAATGTATATTTAAGCTTAGGATCCCATGAAGATACTGTTGATAAAAATAGGACTGATTTTATGTAAATAAAAATTTTCATATGTTAGATGGTTATCTAAGTTTTGATATCATCATTAAAATGAATGAATGATTAATTGTGTGCAGGGTGAAGCAATTATGAAAAATAAAACACATGTCACAGTTCCATCGAAGGCTGATAATTTGATATTCATTTATAGTCACATCTGTACACAATTGGATGATTAATTTCTCAGGATGGGAAGGTTTTGAACATAAATTAACATAAATGATGTTATGTTCATTATAAGAAAATATAGGAAAATTATAGGAATTTTAAAAAATTATAGGAAAACATTATAGGAAAATACATGTCAATCCATGTTATATAAGTCATTGGTTTATATTACAATTATTAAATGTTAAGACTTGATAAGGTATGTATGAGAAGAAATTAAGACAGATTAATCATATTTCATAGCTCATTACCAAGAAAACTTTAAAAACATTATTTATTTACATAAAACTATTGGTATAATGTTTTTTTGGGGATGTATACATGTTACCCATGTTCATTAAAATGCTGATTTCTCTACTCCACTATCTAGTTTCAATCTGGACATTCCATTGTGATGCTTATTCTAAGCATCACCTGTCTCAAGTTTGTATAAACATGCCACCATTTGTTCTCTGCATTTTCAATTAAATGACCAGCCAATGCTGTGCAATGGAGAGAATAGGGTGGGACATCCTTGTGCAGAGGGGTGGAGAAGGAATCAGTTGAGGAGAAGGAGAGGGGAGATGGGCAGGACAGGACTTGGAACCATGAGGAGAGATGAACCAGACCTAAGATATGACTAAAAGCAAGTATAATGTGTGAAATCTGAATGGGAGGAAACTATGCAGGCTTGAAGGTTTAGGACGAAATAACTTTTGCCCAGCCATTGTGCTCCAGTTAATTAAATAAATCCTATTCTCTGTGTGGTGATTTGGGTGTACAGCTGGTTTAGGAATAACCACTGCTTAACCAAAGGATAAATCAATAATAAATATTGATAACCCACAACATATATCTATTTATTCCAAGTTTCTTTGATTATCAAAAGAACTTTAAAATTTTTGGCTCTTTATTTGACAATCTTGATTACCATAAACAGGTTTTTGTTTATGTTGTATGAGTTACATACTTCATGATATAACACAACGTACACCGCTTCTCAAATATTATTTTTTTAGTGTTTATTACAAGAATAATTTAAACTGAAAACATTCTAAACTGAGTCAGGTGGAGTGACTCTCAAGAGTCAGCTCACTGGGTAAAGGCTTCCACTTAGGACATGTATCTGTGAAATACAACAAATAGAAATGAAGAGGTCAGTTCATCCTCTGAGGTTCTTAATGATTTTAATTGCTATTTTCAGGTGAAATGGAAACTGAGATTTTTGTTAGCTTATTTGATTTGCTCTTTAATTTTACATGAACAGAAACATTTGATTTATCTGTTTGATACACATTTCTGATGTTTTTAATTGGAATCTTCAGTGTTCTTATGTAAGATTCTCTTGCTACATTGCTAAGGTTCTTTTGCTACATTTTAAAAAGGAAAGCCCCATAGAGAGCTCCACTATAACTTGCCAAAGATGTTTCTTCATCAAACCTCATTGTCCAAGGGGAAATCCTCCATATTCACAGAAGCTCCAGCCTATTATATTGATTCTAGTCACAAAAGTCATAATAAAATGGTATCACAGTATAGAGGACAGTCTAGAATTTATCATTATATTCATTTTACAGTTCTTAGGATATTGCATGCACTCAAAGTAATTTTTCTGTATTTTTATTTTAAAAACCATAAATCAGCTAAACACTATTCAGGACTTGTCAATATGTTTCTAAGATATTTCTAAATTCACCCTTATTTTTCTCAAACAAAGAATCTAATCCTTTTTGATATTTCCCTAAAACCAAAGACAGGGTAATTAATCTGAATGGATCAACTATATTTTCCAGCTTTCTTGAAGAGTATAAAAACAAAGTATTAAAAGAGTTTTCTTTCCTTTATGTGAGAATCAACTGCAAGCCTATTAGACATTTAATTTTCTGAATATTAAATTAATTCTACATCATTTTATGGAAATGGTCACTGGGAAAAATATCAGTGACTCTGAATGAGAATGAGTGAAGGTAAAGGAGAGTTAATATTTACTTCAAGAAGTCACATTACCCTTATTTAGATGAACAAAATTATACAAAAGATGGATAGCTATTTGGTAACATTGTGATGAATGACACCCCATTTACAAAATCCAATGCAAATTATACTTGTTTACTTGTGTGAAATATTCCAAAGATACCTTTAAATGACCATTAATACTTTCTTCAACAATGTACACAAAACTAGTGCAGCAGAGTTCAGGAATCTTATGAAAGAAGGAGGAACTGGAGGAGACAGGAACTCCACAAGGAGAGCAACAGAACTAAGAAATCTGGGCCCAGGGGTCTTTTCTGAGACTGATATTTCAACCAACGACCACCCATGGAGATGACCTAGAACCCCTTCAAGATGTAGCCCATGACAGCTCAGTCTCCAAGTGGGTTTCCTAGTAAGGGGAACAGGGACTGTCTCTGACATGAACTCAGTGGCTGGCTCTTTGATCAACTCCCCTGGAGGGGGGAGCCACCTTACCAGGCCACAGAGGAAGACAATGCAGCAAGTCCTGATGAGACCTGATAGGCTTGGATCAAATGGAAGATGAGGAGTGCCTCCCCTATCAGTGGATTTTGGAGGGGCATGGGAGTAGATGAGGGAGGGAGGATGGGATTGTGAGGAAATGAGGGAGGGTGTTACAGCTGGGATACAAAGTGAATAAACTGTAATTAATATAAAAAATAATAATAAAAACAAAAATGTGGCAGTTTTATCTTAACCTGTATATCTTCCAAATAATTGAGACTGGACTATTATATTTATTTAATAAATTTTATCGCAGAAAAACTGAATCATATTAATATAATTTTTGCTCTTCCAAAATCTCTTCTCCTCTGACTGGTAGGAACTGCAGTCCTATTCTCTCTCCTGCTCAGTCATTGGCTGCTAAACTGCTTTATGTATATATCAGGAAACAATTGGGGAGCAATGTTTAGACAGAAGTGTCTCAGAATAAGGATTGCAGCTCAGATTCGGGGCACAGAAAGCAGCATTTGAATCTTTACACAGTTACATTATGTTACATGTTATGGGATGTGCAAGCATCTCCATGTTAATGTTTTTATTGTGTGGTTCAATTTGGTGTATAGAAACAGCTATGCACAGTTTGACACCTAACTGACTGTCCTCTGACTATAAGAGTCAAAAGTGTCACATCATAACACTGAGAGCCACATATTCAAAGAGTAATTAGCTTTGGGTGGGTGTGGAAGGAAGCTACACTCTTCAGAGTGAATATTAGAAGATGATTGCATGAATATGTCAACACACATTTTTCTGTCACAATGTTTCTCTGTCATTTCTTGAATATGAATACTTATACAAACTGTTAGTTCTTCAGAAAACACACTCTTCCAAATAATGCCCCATTACCAAATGTTTAAATTGCTTTCAGTAATGCACAATATAATGTGGGAATAAGATTCAGGCCTACAGCCTAGGGAATGGTTTTCATCAGTCTGGAATCCATGGCTTACATAATGCAGACTGCTAATATTTCCAAATTATAATTCACACTCACACTTTCTAAAGCTTTGATTTTAGCAATGATTTATATACATAGTTATAGTCTACATCTGAACATGCTATCACTATTAAATAAAAAGTAAATTTCAAACATCAAATGCTCATCAATACACTCAAGAAATTCAAGAAAAATGTACATCAAATGCTAATCCCAATATTCATCTATCCACAGTGTGAATAGATGAAAATTGCCACATACTTTGTATTCAGAAAATGAAGGACATCTTATACATATTTAATGGAATGTTTCACAAATTTGCATGGCATCCTTACTCAGGGGCCATGCCAATCTACTCTGTATCATTCCAATTTTAGTTTATGTTTTGCCTAAGTAAGCATCTTACCCACTTCTTACTACATGTATCCATGTTAACTTCATATGATAAATGCAAAACCAATATAGGTATCAGAGGAATCATTCTTATTTGGTTTTCAATTCTACAGTCAATATTCATTCATTTTTTATTTGACAGGAGCACTACCAATGTAAAATTATTTTCTTCTTTTTCTTTCTATATCTTTCTTTCCTTCCTTTTTTCAATTTATTCACTTTGCATTCTGGCTATAGTCCCCTCCCTTGTCTCCTCCCAGTCCCACACATCCTTCTGCTTCTCCCCCTATGCTCCTTACCTAAGTCCTTGTTAAGTTAGGCGAAGTGTTATAAATAATGGGTTTTATTGTGCAGTATTTCTGGGTTTTTCTTTTAATGTTGAGTACTGCATAGCTCATAATTGCCTTGAAATATCTATCAAACCAAGGATTCTCTTGAGTTTTGCTCATTTAATATCCCTTATTCTTTGGCTTGGATCACTGACAGGTTTGCCAAAAATAACTTGTTCTAGGAACTTGGATAAAAGTTTTCCTCTTACTTTTAGATTATTATTGTAAATGGTCTGAATTGCTGCATTCCATAATTTGCTTAAATAACAGTGCATCACAATAGCATTTCTCATTGTTAACTATCAAAAGTACCTGAGTTTCTCTGAAAAATTTTTGATTAAACAAAGTGAGTCACAGGCATTGTGTACAGTTTTTTTTTTTTTTTTGGTGTTGTTCTTAAATGTAATACAAGAATTACAGTACAAATAGTACAAATACTTACTTAATTTGTAGAAGCGTCATTGTAGGAAAATGTGCCACTCAATTGTGAGGGAACAGCAAATTATGTTGAAAAAAACTTAACAATGAAATTAGGTTTCATTTTTAGCAGAGGTCTTTAGACAATTTTTTACAGTTAAAAATATTTTAATTGAAATAGAATTATATCACTCCCTTATTTCTTCATCAGATGTCTCCAAGTTACTTTCTTTGCAGCCACTCTAAGAAATACCCACTGTCAAGTTAAGTTTATTCCTTTGAATATGTGTGTGTATACACACACACATGTGTGTCTTTATATAGGTTTTAACAAATTTTGTATAAAATAAAAACATACACAAGCATATAGAAATGCACACATCCGTATATACATATATATATGATTATATCCATATATAATGATATATATGTGTGATTATATATCATATATATGTATATGATTCAAAGCAGAACCTCTTACATAAAAGACCTAATTATTGAAACTTTGTCTGTAATACAGTTCAACATGTGAATGACTCTGGTCTCAAACTGGTACATGCCTTTTGGTCTTTATCCATAATTGAGAAGTATATAACAATGCAACAGTATCCCTACAATTGATTATTTACATATATATGTGCATTAATTGCAGATATCCTGGATGAAACCATGTTAAATGGATCAAGAGAGAAAGGGCATCTACCTTGGTTTTGAACATAGCTTGAGAGACAGGAGACTTATCACTAAGAATATATTCAAAAATTAAAGGTGGAATAATTTGGTTTACTTGTTATTTGCACACTCTTTGCCATTTTTTTTTAATCAGAGGTGTGTTTGGACACCATGTCTTGCTATCACACAATTGAGTTTTGCACATTAGGTAAAGCAACAGGGTTCTGCACATCCAGAGGGCAATTGATACACTCTTCCACGGGAAAACATCATCATGATCATGGTGTTTGCCCTACCATGTGAGCATGCTTTTTTGTGTTGTTTTTGTTCTTTAATCAGGGCAGTCAATCTTACTATATTCACTTGTGCATTAAATCAATTCATTCATAGGTTTACAAGCTCAAATACTCTAAAACTCCTGCCTGTTATTCTAGAGTGCTTTATAAAAGACAATGAGCAGTAGCACGAGCTAAAAAATAATTGATATAAATATGATTAGCACAAACTTAGTGTTTCTTTGAAATTTTCAGGCATGGCTGTGAAAATGTGTTTTTATTCCACAGGTAAGAATTCTATATATCTTTTGGAAGAATGGATTGGCATTATGCACACTTGAGGATGATTGACTGGGGGTCTAGCCTCTGATTATAATTTCAACTTGAATAAATTTTGCTCACCTGGTATAGTAAGTCATGGCCATTTCCTTGTAATTCTTTAGAAATGTAACATTCCGCATGAGCATCCCCATATTCCCATTTTCTCCAATTTCTTTTAAATCATTTGAAGCCAAGAAGATGGTATTGAATCTTCCTGAAAACTAAAAGGGTATGTCCAGGTAAACCAAGTGACCAAACTTTGTCTTTCCTCTGTCTCTTCTTTTTTAAACACAGCATCTACTTCACCTCACAGGTAACATCCACACCACTTTCTTGTGAGTGATGAACTTCCTAGTGAAATAACATTATTATTGCATAGGATGAGCCAATTGTTCTTAAGTTGGTTTTTGAATATTTCTTTTGGTAGCATGCTTACGTTCACTTTTAAATTAAGGGATTCATTGCATGCATATTGAGATTCCATTAGGTAATTTCATGTTAAAACACTAGAAGTTCCTTTCTCATCCTTGAATAGGAAGATACTACAGCAGCAGCCATAATATAAGGAAAGTACACATCAAATCAGTGACATAATATTTTGAGAAAAGTTCTTTTATATTTTCCAAGAAATCATGACTGGCTTTTCTCACAAGTCCTACTTTAACAGTGTTTTGTCAATGAAGAAAAAGTATCTTAAAATTGGGACTGTCTATCTGTGGACAAGGCTATTTGGTCAAAATAGTTGTCACATAAAATAAAGGACCTGAGTTCAAATCTCCAGGATATTTGCAATGGCCAGTTATATTACTGTAGTTTTTCTTTTCATTAGTGTTCCTATTGCGAGGAGGGAGTTGGAGATAAGAGAATGATGATAAGGAGGTGGGCCAAGTATCCTGTGTACAAAGAAGTCATGAGGTGCTTTCTCAAAATAGCTGGTATATGGTGCCAATGTCATACTTTGAGTTCTATTTGTTGGCTGTAACAAATGTATAGCCACACTCTGAGGGAAAAAACTCTCTGAGACAGGCTGGAGGCTTATGAGAGGGTATGTTCTTGGAAAGATATAGGGGTGATTCTAGCTGAGACTTTTAGCAGTAGGAGATAATAGAGATGGAAATGACTCTCTCCTAGAATGGCAGGACTTCAAGTGAAAAGCAGGAGACACAAACTAACCCACAAAACCTTTGACACAAAATTTACCCTGTCTACAGGATATATAGATATAAAGATGGAGCAGAGATTGAGGGAATGTTTAACCAATGAGTGGCCCAATATGAGACCCACCCCCATGGCAGAGAACCAACTCCTGACACTATTAATGACACTGCTGTGCTTGCAGACAGGAGCCTAGACTCTGAGAGGCAGCAGTGGCTTGAAACACATACTGATACCCACAGCAAACTTTAGGCAGAGTCTTTGAGGAGTCTTGCAGAAGAGGGGAAGAAAAATAGAGGGACACAGGGAGGACAAGAAATCCACAAGAAGGCCAAAACAGTCAACTAATATAGGCCATGGTAGCTTACATCTATTCAAGCACCAATGAAAGAACTTTCATGAACTAGACCTATAACCCTACAGAAATGTAGCTGATGGGCTACCTGGTCTTCATTTGGATCCTCTAGCAAGTAGAGCAGGGACTGTCTCAGACATGGACTCTATTGCCTAATTGTGGGTCACTTTTCCTTAGATAGACGTCTTTGTTTGGCTTCAGTAGAAGAGGCTATCCGATGTGCTGAGATGGAATTGTATGGGGTAAGAGCCTCCCTTTCCTAAGGAGAAGGGAAAGGTGAAAAGAGAGAAGATATGGGAAGGGAGAGTGCTTTGGAATGTAAAATGATTAAATAAATAAATAAATAATTTTTTCAAAAACTGAGACCAAAAAAGAAAGAAAGAAAGAACAAGAAAGAAAACAGGAAAATGCATTATATCAACACACAAATTTTAAAAAACTAATGGCAATATTTTTATGACAGACCTAATTGAATATAAAAGTTTGAATCAACATGCCTCATATAGTCCTATACCAAGACATTACTAACATGTTTAGTACATCTGTTGTCCTAACAAAAAATGTGAAACCATATTCATTAATTCTTTATATTATTATACATGATATAAATTGTAAAATTCCAAGGTAAAATTAATCAAACATAGATATACAATGCAATTGATTTTATTTATATTTGTTAAAGGTTTTACCTGAAATCTTGGGTGGTAAGGTTGTTTCACAGAACCTTGCTTTACATTTCAACTTTAAAAACAGATTTACTATGCTAGTTTTTAAGTACTAAATAAATGATGCTAGTTTTTTGCACAGTTGAGACAGTATCATCATACCCTAGTTAATATTAGGAGTGGTGATAAAGAATTGTTTATGTGATACATTGTTGTCTGAAAGCATAGTCACAGAATTAAATGGATTCACAACCAACATAAACATTTTCTTCCCCCGCCCTTCAACCACCCCTTTTAAGCCTGTATTGTACCGGTAAGGGTGTCTCTTCAGCAGAAATCAAACAGATTAGAGCAGCAAGCAGAAGAACCTTCATCTTCTGAAGTCTTGTCTTTACTCTTTTTGAGAAGGAGAGTCACTGGTGAAAAAGTGGAATGGAGACTCATTTAAATAATTTCTCACAAGCAACAGGCAGAATGACCTAATGTCTCTTCCTTCTTCAAGTGTACCTTACAAAATCTTTGGCAGTCATACTTGGATGTTTCCCTTTCATTGTTTTACTAATGAGATGAGTATTCATTGAAGCATAATGTGAATGGATATTTGATACTGTACATATGAGGGAGAACAATCCTAGCATTATGTATCAAGAAGAGTTATATGCCTCTTCATATGCTGTTCTTATATCCTGAATTATGAAAACAGATTGTCCTTCAGTCTTTAAACCTATGATCACTATCTCCCTTGGCCAGAGATTCTTTGTACATTTATTCTTAAAAACCAAGAGAATATCTCTTGCTAATATAAAAGAATTTCAAA